AACATGTGTATTTGTATTTATTCTTTATTATTATTTATTTATTTTAATTTATTTAACAATTTTTTAATAGGTTTACATCTACTTTGCCTAGGGTGACTACATTTTGTATATTTGGGGGTTGTGAAGTTGTTGCCCCGAGCGACCAGATCAGAATCCCTTGTTGAATTTTTCTATAAAAGGTGGAAGCTCATTGGTCCCTGAGGGCGATGATTCCACACCTGCTCCATGGATTGACTCCTCCCACTCTCCAGCCTCAGCTGTGCACTCAGAGAGGCGCACAGAATGTTCTTTGCGCATATTGATCAGTTGATTAGCTCCTGTTATTGGTGCTGTCAGCTATCGATCGCAGATATTGATTATTTGGTGCGCTCCCGTCCTTTCTGTGGGTGATCATCGATATTATGATTTCCTCTCCTGTGGCCGCCTCCCCCTTCCTCTCATCGCTTCATTTATATTTCCCCAAAGAAGAAATAAAATTAAATGTCTACGAGTAATGCGAGGACTGCGAGTGCTGCGAGTGCTGCGAATAATGCGAGGACTGCGAGTGCTGCGAGTAATGCGAGGACTGCGAGTAATGCGAGGACTGCGAGTGCTGCGAGTGCTGCTAGTGCTGCGAATAATGCGAGGACTGCGAGTAATGCGAGGACTGCGAGTAATGCGAGGGCTGCGAGTGCTGCGAGTAATGCGAGGACTGCGAGTAATGCGAGGACTGCGAGTGCTGCGAGTAATGCGAGGACTGCGAGTGCTGCGAGTAATGCGAGGACTGCGAGTGCTGCGAGTAATGCGAGGACTGCGAGTGCTGCGAGGACTGCGAGTAATGCGAGGACTGCGAGTAATGCGAGGACTGCGAGTGCTGCGAGTAATGCGAGTACTGCGCTCGGTCTTGTAGGGAGACAGACGGTGAAACGACGCGTTACGCAGTGCGCAGTTCTGCTCCATTCCCTGACAACAGTGGATCTCACCACACCGGTCTGGATTTGCCAGGACACGCCCACTTTTTGGATCTCAGTCCCGATGATGTTTTTAATATCAACAAATGATATTAAAAGTGTCGATTTATATTCCAGTTTTGGCTTCATCTGGCGTTCCTACTTGAAGACGGATTGCAGCTTTCAGCTGGTGTGCAGCAGCTCAGTAGAGTGATACATTTCGGTTGGCTGCACTCAGGGCCGTCCCTATAATGAGACAGACTGGGATTGGTTGGTTCAGGCGGCATCTCATTGGGTCACGTGGGAGGAGGGGGCGGGTGTGCCCGCCGCCCCCTTTCCGGGCCAGAGTGTTCCAGGTTGCTTGGAGCTCTTAGCAACCTGTGATGGCGTCCCGCCCAGCGCTTGGCAACCGGTGATGTCAGTGAGCCGGGAGGCAGGCCAGACAGAGCCAGAGCTAGC